TAATCGTTCAAATGATCCATAAGTCAAGGCCCCCAAAGTCAAAGGTCAACACCCAGTCTTCATCTTACTTGATTTAATAGCAACAACTGACACAAGAACTTTCTCCAACCCGAAGCACTTCCCAAGATACCACAGTGCCCTGGTTCTCTTCCCGCTTCACACGCTGCCCCCTCACAGTCCCAAGGTCTCCAGGGCTCAGCTGTGGGACCTCTCTTCTCCTCCATCATTCCCTGCTCCCGCCCCCCTGCCACCCTTGGCCATTTCATCCAGGTGCACGGCTTCAAAATACATCTGGAAGCTGTCAGCCCTCAAATACAGTCCACCCTCATGACACACGGGTTCCGTACTTGTGTAAATTTGCCTCCTTGCTAAAATTTGTAGTCGCCAAATCAATGCTTGCCATGCCTTTGCAGTCACTTATGGACGTGAGCAGAGAGGCTCTGGCTGAGTTTCTAAGGCGCACTTTCCCTTGTTTGACCTCAAACAAGGCGACACTCTACCCTCCTGTTTAGACTCTCACGTTATAAACAAGTATCATTTTCATGGTCTAGTTAGCGTCAGGTTTTTCACATTTCTGCACATTTTGTAGATTCATGGTTTAAAACGGCCCCCAAGCGCAGTAATGAAGTGCCGTCTAGTGTTCCCGGCACAAGAAAGTGGAGATGTGCTTATAGAGAAAATATGTAGCTAGAGAAGCTTCCTTTAGGCATAAGTTATGGGGCTATTGACCATGAGCTCAACATTCATGAATCGAGACTATATATTAAATAAGGTGTCACTGAACAGAAATACACGTAAAACAATGTCAGGCATCAATCAGTAGATGAAAATGAGAGGACCAGAGGCTCATGAGGAATCTGACCCTGATCTCCCCTGGGAACAGTGGGTCAGTATTTACTAGTTCAGGGTCAAGGTGATGTTACAGAACATCATTACTGTGCATAATGAGAATCGATTGTATCTTGTTGCAGACCAGATCTCTCCCCAGAACTCCAGACTTGTGTTCCAACTGCCTTCTCGACCTTGCAAACTTGAACAAATCAAAATCTGAGCCCCTGGTAATATTTCTGCAACCTGCTCTTTCCACAGACTTTTACTTCTCAAGTAAGGGAAACTGCACCCTTCCAGGGGCTCAGGCCAAAAAGACCTTAGAATTATCATTGATTTCTCTGTCTCTAAAACCCTACTTTTAGTTTTTCAGAAGATCTCCATGACATTACCTTCAAATTTTATCTGGAATCTGACAACTTCTCACTACGTCCCCTCTGCCAACCTAGCTCAGACCCCACCATTTCTCACTTGGATAATTCCAGAGCCTTCTAACTGGTCTCCCTCCTTCCACCCTGGCCCTGCACGCTGGCATCTCTCCTAATCCCCACCTGTCTCCTAGAAGTATCCTGGTAAGAGTCAGATCATGCCATGCCTTGCCTCAGAACCCTCCCATGCCTCCCCCAACCCTGAGTAAAAGCCATACTCTTGATAATGACTTCTAAGTCCTGGTCTGCACATGTTCTGCCTGTTCCTTCTCTGACTTTACCTTCTACTGCTCTCCTCTTTGCTCACCCTGCTCCTGTTGCCCCCCTCCCCCACATACCCCTGCCTCGGGGCCTTTGCACCATCCTTGGAATGCTCTTCCTCAATATGGCCAGCGACTTCACTTCTATCAAATCTTGACCTCTTAGTGTAGGCTGCCTTGATGACTTTAAAATTGTAACCCCCTACACACACACACACACACACACACACCCTATTCTCTTTCCTGCTTTATTTTTCTCCATAGTACTTATCAATCTAAGATATTAAGTAATAGACTTAGCTGTTTGCATACAGTCTGTCTCCCTCTCACTCAAATGTAAGCACCTTGATTGAGGGCAGCGACTTTTATCTGTTTTTCTTTTCCTTTCTACTGATGCATCCCCAGTACCTAGAATAGCAGGTAGGCACTAAATAAATAATCCTTAAGTGATAAATAATGTAGCACTTACCAGACATTATTCAACCTGCCTGTTTACCCTCTGTCTTTCACAATACTGTGAAAATTTTGAAGTCAGAAACGCTGTCCCTACATATTCATATTCCTAACACCAAACCACTGAGCATGGCACATAACAGGAATTTAATAAATGCATGCTGAATGACTGGGAGAAGAGAAGAGAGAGAAAAATGCTAATTTTCATCATGAACCTTGGGTTTTTACTAATTTAACAAACATCTGTGCAGAGATGAATAAGATAATCCCCCCTGTAGAAAAACCTGCAGTGCAGTGGGAAAGAGACACTGATACTTATGGATCCTGACACAATGTAGTCAGAGCCATGGTGAAAAAGTGGTCAGGAAAGGTCAGGAAAAGAACTAGGATGACAAAAGAGAGAATGGGTGTTGGGAAAGCAGCCCAAAGGGGGCAACATGTAAGGTGGGTTTTGATGGATGAACAGGAGTTTGCCATGCAGCCTGGGTGGGGGTTGGGGGGTGGGGAGGAAACAGCCCAAACTCTGCTGCTCACTGACCAAGGTATAGGTCTACAAGGTATGAGCTGCCCAATGTAGCCCCTTCCTTGCTCTAAGAGGACTCCCCAGGCATCTCAGTGCTCAACAAATATGAATGATCGGAACAGCTACATTCCCACAGAGCTCCTCTCTCCCTCCTCACTCAAAGAAAATTCCATATCTGACAATGGGATTACTTGACAGCTCCACTTGCCACCCTTTAGGGTAGCAACATTAAGGGCCACGTCTACACATTGTTCCCAGTTCCCAGACTCATCAGCATCTGACATCTAAACAGAACCAGACTACAGGGATGACAGCCGCTTAGAAACCCAGAGAAAGTGCCGTTCCTGGGTTCTGCCAAGGCACAAAGAAGCAAAAACCCATTTGGAAAGTGCTAGAGCTTTCCAGTGTCAGAGCCCAATAGGAGAACAGTGTGATGCATATGTTAGTATGGACACTTGTGTCAGAACATCTGCCCTGCAGCCTGAGAGTCAACTTCTTGCAGGGGGAAGCTGGCGAGTCCCAGCAGCTCCTTGGCCCGGCGGGGGCCAGTGCCGTGGACTGCGCTGCAGACAGCAAAGCCATCCTGACAAGAAGACCAGACACCATGACCTCACGGGCCTTCGCATTTCCTGATTCACCTGCTGAAACAGGCTTTTCTCCTCTGTGTCTTTGAAGAGAAAGGAGGAGAAGCACATCTCATTCATTTTTATTTGCCGCTTGCCTGGAGGCTTGGACTGAACTGGAGAAATCCCACATACACACCGCACGCACTCCTGCTCCCACCCCCCCCGCCCCCAGGGCACATGTGTGCAGCTCCCACGTGCAGCGATTCTAAGTCCCCCCCGTTGGGGTCCAGCCGGGTCCTGCTGCATCACTTCACCAGCCCAGAACCGAGAACGCGCAGGGCACCATGCATCTCATCCAGGCCAAGGTTGTGCTGGCTTCTCTGTGAGCAGAACCACCTCCCCGTCTCTGTCCAGCGCACACACCAACCAGGGACACGGTCCCTGCCCGTGACGCTCACACCGCCTTTATCTCCTCCTGAGTCTGTTGCTTCCCTTCACGTTATTCTCCGTTCCCCTTGGCCAGCTCTTCTCTCCTGTCCTTCGGGCACCTTTAAATATGAGAGGGTTGTGATCTAACACCCACGTTATGCCAGCACTCGAAGGGCCGAGAAGGGCCCCGGAGGTCATTTGGAGTTTCCCACAATGCACTGGGCCCCAGGCTCATGAGGTTTGAGGCCTCCTGACCTCAGCCTGGCCTGAGAAGGCCATATGATTGTCCCTCAAACCAAACAGGAATGATGCCATTCATAGAACATTCCCTCCTCTCTTTCAGGCGGGCTGCCTATTCTCATGAGGAAAAGCCATCCTGTTGTGTATGATGAGAATTCAGCCTTGGTCTCCGTTTTCCAAAGTCTTTTCCAACTCCCTTTCCCCCTGCTCTCAGACATTCCCAGCTTGTATCCTCTCCCCAGACTTTTCCCACTTAGGGCTTTGACACCAAGCTGATGCCTCCACCTGGGACACTCTGTCCCCTCACAGCCCCAAGGCCGGATGCTTCTCCACATGCAGGCGAATACCCCAGTCTCATTCCTGTTGCCCTTAGCCGTCCTAATCCCCCCAGCGCCTTGCCACTCTATTGCAAGCTCCCATTTTATCTTCTTCATTTTCTTCCCCTTTTATTTTCTTCATTTTCCACTTACCGTGGCCTGAAACAACCCCATTCTTCGCATCTTTGTCTGGTGTCTGTCACTCCCAACTAAAATGTGAGCTCCATGAGGGCAGGCACCCCGTGTGTCTCATGCACGGCCTTCACCCTCATGCCTAGAACAGCTGCTGGTACATAGTGGGCACCTTAGTATACATTTGCTACATGAGTGAATACATTTGTGTATATCAAAGTCTCGAAAACCACCAAGAATGCCCATGGCCTTTCTCCAGGTCCCCAGAAGACAGAAGGCGCTTCTCAGCATGCACGCGTTCAGCTCTGCCACAGCCTTTTCTGCATTCTCAATGTTTGGTACAAAGAATGTGGGGTTCTGATTTTAGGAAAAACTTTAGTTCTTGGCTTCGCCAGTACCGATAGGGACTTTAAGAGTGACTTCGTCAAGGTATGAAGTAGGTTCCTCCTATCGATATTCTCTTTCTGGTCGCTGCTATCTCAACATTTTACATGTTCTACTTGTGTCTGCACCTCATCATATCTTAGCACCTCACTGTAAATCATTTGAAAACACGGACATGTATGCCATATTTCTGGCATCAGAACCCAGGCATTCATCCAAATCAACTCCAGGCCTCCACTCAGGCCCACACTCAAATTAGACGGGATTTCTCCCCAACTATTAAAAGGTTTCAGGGGAAACTGCTTCTCTTCTAACTCATTCCAATGTCTCTCAGCCTTTTTATTCTCCCCTCGAGGGGAACGAAGACAGTTGTGATCCTGCGCCAGGCTCAGGTGCTTTAAGACAGACAAACTGGACCCGAACACACACACTGCACTTACCAACATAGCCCGGGGTCCCACAGGCTGTGGACATCACATCTCCTTTGCCCTCCATTTTTGACAATCCAAAGTCACTGATCATTATTTTGGATTCCTCATCTTGACTGTAGTACAACAGATTTTCAGGCTGGAAGGAAAATAAGAAAAAAAATGGACAAAGTGTGTTTAAAGCTGGCTTCATTGTGGGAGACTCACCAAGCCACGAAATCTTGTTTTTTTTTTAATTTAAATTCAATTAGCCAACATATAGTATATCATTAGTTTCAGATGTAGTGTTCAATAATTCATCTGTTGCATATAAAACCCAGTGCTCATCACATCACGTGCCCTCCTTAATGCCCATTACCCAATTACCCCATCCCCCAACCATCTCCCCCTCAGCAACCCTCAGTTTGTTTCCCATAGTTAAGAGTCTCTCATGGTTCTTCTCCCTCTCTGATTTCTTTCCATTCAGTTTTCCCTCCCTTCCCCTATGATCCTCTGCACTGCTTCTTATATTCCACATATAAGTGAAACCATATGATAATTGCCTTTCTCTGATTGACTTATTTCACTTTTTAGCATAATACCCTCCAGTTCCATCCACATCGATGCAAATTGTAAGTATTCATCATTTCTGATCAAGCCACACAATCTAATCACAGTTTAAGAACATGCTTGACCTTCGGACATAGTAAATGCATTAAGAAAAGCAGTGTTTAGTAAGAGCGATGTGGAGGACCCTGCACAGTATTGGACACTTAGAGGTTTTCAGGAAATGTGATTCCCTTTCCCTTATCAGTACTTTGTCTTCTTCACAAAAGTGAACCTTATATTGGGGCAGCCTTGCATACCTCTCAGACTTGTCAGTTTATTTCTTGGGCTGAGAGAGGGGGGATCCCCAGAAATGACATGACTTCTGCAGGGGCTCTTCTGTTCCCTTTTTCTGACCCTTGTTAGCAACCTCTCTCTAGTCTAAGGGTCTCTCTTCCCGCCTTTGGTAACGTCCCATGTCTTGTCATTCTGACAGATGCGTCCCGCTTTCGCCTCTCCTGAGCCAGTGGACACCCCCTCCCCCGACTCTGCTTCCTGGGAAATAGAGGGATGTCATCACGGAAGACCCAGCACTTCATAGCCACGTGTCCTTAAGTACCCTGAGCTTCTGTTTGCCTTTCTGGAAAACATGGGTTGTGGTGGTTCTTCGTTTGCTTCCCGGAAGAATACATGACAGAACTCAGCTCGACATGTGGCAGAGGTGTGATCACAGTTCCCGTCCCCACTACCGTTCTGCACCTCAGGGACACCTCCATGGCAGCTCCTTAGGAGGGGCCGAGGGGAGGCAAAGCAGAAGTGTAGCAGGGAGACAATGAAGCGAATAAAGCTTCATTGCATAGTGTTTTATGAAAAACTGGGTATCATTCTTAACAAAAAAGAGAGAGAGAGTGGAGCTCAGGGAGACTGAGGGAGATGTTCCAGCCTCCGGGGCCGGGCCAGTCCTGCTCGGACGGAGCTTGAACACAGAAGGGCTGCCTCAATTAATGGCGTTGTCCCTGAGGGAGATAATGTTGAGGACTGACACCTCTCCTCTTCACCCACTAGGAAAATTCTGAAGATTGACCCAGCGAATAAGCAAATCACTTCTCTCCTTTACATTAAACCTTAAGGGAAACACAATAGGAAGACTCAGAACTGGGGAAGCCACTTCCCCTCACTGTTTCAGGTCTGACTCTTCTCTCATCCCCAAGAGTGAAGCAAGAGCGTCTGTCAGTGGTTTGCGGTGAATCTTTGGTTCCTGAGTGTTGAATTTGAGGAACCATTCTCTCATAGAGTGACTCGGCCCATTTCGAGAAGTGGTTCTAGTCCTGGCTGCCCAGCAGAATCACCTGTGACAACACAAAATGTCTGCATGTCTTCTTCAGTGGATTTGAGACGGGCCCGGGCCTCTGGATGTTAGAATCCACGGGGGGATTCTGATGTGCAACCACTGCTGTGAGGAAATTCTGAGAACTGCCTAAGACCCCCTCCTTGACCAAACTGTAGTCAGCCCTCTTCTTGATTAGGCCTCGACCTTGGCCTTCTGTGTCCTTCCTGTCTGCCGGGCCTGCATAGTCTAGTCTTAGCAAGAATCCTGCTGAGTCAGCGTAGGAAGAATTCCCTCACCCTTGATATCTGGCCAAGTTCTTCACCTCCCACCTTGCATGTTATTTAAAAAAATGTATTCAGACACTTGGTAAAGACAGTAAGGAAAACTTTATTCAGGAGGACCACTGCCATGGGGTTCTACAGTCAGAGAGGAAGAGTAGACTCAAGTCCTAATACAACAAGGACGAATGGAAATTTATACCCAGGAGCAGGGGGAGCGTCAGTGGATGGAAAGTTACTAAGAGGGGATATCAAGGGTGGGGGGTGTGTGGCTACATCAGTTTCAGAGGATCCTTGTTGAAAGGCAGGCCAGGGTGGGCAGATATGGAGGGTGGAGGATAAGGAATCTGATCAGATCTCAAGGGTGGGGGATGTTCACCAAAGTGACTCAGTGGGATTCTTGCTCAGCCTGGACTACATGGGCAGAGCCAATGGACTAAGCACAGAGCCCAAGGATGGAGCCTGGTCAGAAAGAAGACTCAGGAGGGGCTGAACTCAAGTTTGGTCAAGGGAGAGAGTCTACCAATGTCTAATAGGTTCTTGGCCAGCCTTTAGCAAGAATCCCCCCATCCTTGGTATCCCTTCTTAGCAATTTTCTATCTACAACCCTCATTCTGCTCAAAGGCTATAAATCCCCACATGTCCTTGATGAACTTGGAGTTGAACCCAATTCTCTCCCCTATTGTGATATTCTTGCAGTAGCCTTAAATAAAGTCTTCTTTAGTTTAAAAAGTGTCAGAATAATTTTTTTTTAACAGAACCCAAAAGAAAAAATACTATCCTTCATCCAAACTCATAACATGAGAAGGAATGGCACTTAACATTCACAGTGACATTAATTCCGTGGATGAAGCATGCGGTTAGAAGAAAATCAAAATGTATGCTTGAGGGTGCTCTCAAGGAGTTTGAAGAGAGAATAAAATGGGCCAATCAATAATCAAAATAAGAATAGTGCTTTAAAAATGGGGTGAAATAATCTCATCAAAAGGTGCACATGGTTCATGATGAACAGTACGGATCTGATCATAGGGCAGAGAGGACTTTTTTTAAGTTTCTGATTTTTAATCTTCCTGACCCAGTACTTCTGCAGCTGAACAGCTAAGTAAGGAGTGGGAAGCCAGTGACCTCAGGCTACTCAACAAGGCTGCCTCTAGGCAAGAGATTGCCATGGGGCCAAATACCCCTCCTTACACATTCTTCTTCCAGGGGATACATTTGGGTCAGCAAAGCACTCTTTTGCAGGACAATTACCAAGGAGGGTTCAAGAAACTGGTCATTCACAGCCTAGATCAGTACTTGTCCACAAGCATCTCCTGACTTAGTAAAGATGGCGGGGCTTTTTCTTGAGGGGAGTGGGGAACAGGAAAGTGGGAGAGAAGACAGGCTCAGGGGTAATCCAGATGGAGGCCCCCAGTTGGCAGTAGGAGGGCTTGGTCAGGCAGGGGGCCCAAGGGGGATCTGGCAATTCTGCCTGGGGTCCCGAGAAGCCCAGGATTCACCTAAAAAAAAATAATGTCCTTTATTTTATGACATCCTTGCAAGACAACAGGTGGTCAATGCTGGAGTTGGAAAGTCAATACCAACCTTTTAATAGTTCACATAACAAGCTTTTAAAAGATCTGAATCAACACTTCCTATAAAGTTAATGTTATACACAATCACTCTCCTAATTCAGTGATTCCCAGCTGGTAGCAATTTAGCACCCCAGGGGACATTTGGCAGCGTCTTTGGTTGTCTCGGCTATAGGAGTGGTCCTGGGTTCTAGTGGGTAGAGGTCAGGGATGTTGCTCAGCATCCTACAATGCATGGGCCAGCCCCCCACAACAAAGAACATCATGCAGGGGCTGAGCCCTATCCTGATCTGAGGGGGCAGCAGTGGACATTTCCTGCCTCAGTCCCTTGTTTTGAAAAAAGGACAACTGATTGTCTCTAGTAGCTTCCTGGGGCAAGAAGACACGAGACTACTTTTCTGGAGGAAGAGGGAGGAGGTGTATTCGCATGTGAGGGTGCGGTGGTATCCCAGATCGTGCCCTAATCTTAAACTAACCTCATCATGTTCTTGGCCCTGGAGCATACACTTTGTTTTCATTTTTCTCAGATGTTTATGAAAATTTAATAACCCTAGCCCAACTTCTGCCATGTAGCTCAAACTCCTCTGTTTCTCTGAAAAGCAGTGACGAAAGGTCCCAACATGGCACTTCTTTCCACAGTGATCATCAGCCTGGTGGTCTCACAGCTGCCGGGGCTGGGAGCCTCAAATCCTTCCCTGAAAGCTCTGTGTGGGCAGAAAAAGCAGTTTCTCCTGTGCAGCCCATCTGCCTTCCGAAGGGGGAATACACAGTGCCCCTCGAGGAATGTTCTCTGCGTAGGAATGCCCATCATGGGACACCTCTGCGGTCGGTCACGACGCTAACTTGTTCAGAGAGCTGCCTCCTGTGTTCTAGAAGCAGGGAATCAGCATTTGGTGAGGGCACGAGAGAGCCGAGCAGGCGCCACCGCCTGGCATAGAGGGGCCAAGTGGGCTTAGCCCTCTCAAGGGCCTCTAGGTCCTGAAGATTAACCAGTTGGACTCACAGCCCATTTCAGCTCTCAAGAAGCCTGCAAAAGGCAAAAGCTGTAAGGACTCCATCAACATTCCCAAATACCCTTGTCTGGCAGTTCTCTAAGAATATTCCCAGGATAACATCAGCATCACCTGTAAACCCCTTAGAAATGTGAGTTCCTGGGCCCCACTGCAGACCCACAGCACCAGAACCTCTGGAGTGGGGCCAGACAATTCTGACGTAGGCTAACATTTGGGAGCCACTCCCCTAGTTGCTGGAAAATACCACAGAGAAGAAGAGGAGAGAACTTCACAGTGAGACCTTACGAAAAGAAAAGCTATACCATTTATTCACACCCAGTACTAGATAATGGACAGTTACTGAAATTCTGTTTTAAAAAAGGCTTTTGGTTTGTTCTTTAAACTGATTTAGATTTCACAGAGTCATGCAGAGCATGGCTTCATTGCAATAAAATCCCTGTGTTTATGAGGTGAGTGCAGGTATGTGGGCTGGAGTGGAGTTTCTGTCTTTACTGGTGCAGTGAGCTCTGGGGCCTGGACCCGTGGCCGCTGTAGAATGAAGCCTCAGTCCAGCCTTCATTGCTTTTTTGCTGTTCCTCCAATCAATATGTTCGCTATCTACCCTTGATGGCGTATGTTTGATACCTACCCTTCGGTATCTATACTGACCGGGGAGGGATGAAATGCCAGGGTGCCCGATGAAGGCCCCGATCCTTCAGTGCTATTGCGTGAAGGGTCAGTATGCCAACTCTTCATCAAGAAAAGATAACACTGTAACCTACAGGACACCGGGGGAAGGCTGTGATCGTAGGTCGTTCAACCTGTTTTTCTGGGTAACCTTCTATTTGTCTTCTTCTGTCATGCCCTCTATGTACTCTCTCCCTTTCTTTTACTCAGGGTGGTGTACCAAAATGGGGCCAGAACTGGGGGAAGACTGTGAAGAACTGCACTGGGAGAAAGGTTTTCATGGCCAATAGGTCCTAAACAAAATTACCTTTCAGGTCGGCTTGAAGCAAGACAAAACCTACCTCCCTGGGGCCCTTTGGCTGTATCGTGGTTATAAAATCTCCCAAATGATGGCCAGTGTCATTGATCTACATCATCTTTCTTTGGGTCCCAAAGGCCCTGACAACTAACAGTACACAAATGTCCACCATTCATTCCACCCATATCGCCATCAAGGCAACCTCATCCATTTTCTGGAGACTATCCTCTTGGACAGGTCATTGTGGGTGGGAGAGTGGTCATGGAGGATGTTGCTAAGTGACGGCCTTACCTTGAGGTCCCTGTGGACAATGCCCATTCTATGGAGATAGTAGACAGCATCCAAGACTTGGCGGATCAGAGTGCTGGCATCTTTCTCTGTGTAAAATCCTTTCTCCACTATCCGATCAAACAGCTCTCCGCCGGATACACTGTTTTGTTTTGTTTTTTTTAAAAAAAGAACAAATAAGAAATTTGAGGGGACCTGAAATTGTTCAGGGAAAGCCATCAATAAGAGATTTCAATATGACAAAAGAACCAAACTTTATTTCCAAATAAATTCCTTTTCAGATTTAAGTTTTGCCCCATGGATTCCCCAGAAGCTATACCAAGGAAGCGTTTCTATGTCATGATGGTATGAGTATCCAGAATGGAATAAAGGCAATACAAATAAACCAGGGCTCATGGACTAGCCAGGATTGAGAAGTCTCTTCTGGCCTTTGCTTCCAACCTGCTATGACAATGTAAGGTTAGAACAACTTTCTAGAATATTGGCATCATCAGATACAGGGAGATGATGGATAGAATGCCTCCTTCACATAAGGAATTATCCTTAAAGGTCTGGAGGGTAGGGAGAATGGGGGGCAGCATTGTGGGCAAAGCAATGAATAGCCAACAGGAATGTTTGGGTTCTTGACCAAGTTCTGCTCCTAATATGGTGAGGGCATGGGCGTTCCTTGAATCTCGGACCTCAGTCTTTTTATCTGTAAAATAAAGGGGTTAATCTAGTCAACCATATCCAACAGAAGGTAGGGGCATGCCCTCGGAGGCATCAGAACCTGAAAGCCAATTGTGATTTACAAAAAAAGGAAGAGGAACAACACTCCATTACCTTAACACTGATTTTTGGTGATATTTACTTTTAATTTGTTTTGAAATTCATGCTGCACTATACGTTTTCTTTGTGTTTATTGTGTTTGTTATTTATTGTATTTATTGTCTAGATTGGCAAAGGTCAAACAAGCCCAGGTGGACAGCCCCCAGAGCCCCATTCAGCTCCGATATTTGCTGTTGCTTTGAGTTTAGCAAAGTAACAGAGCTGCACAAATCTAACTTGGAACAATCCCCCAGCCTAGCCTTCCAACCCGCAGAATATATACTCCTCCAAGAAACACAGTGCTTCTTTCAAATAATTACGCCATCTTGGAAATCAGCTTCAAGGGATATATTAACACCATTTTCCTGTATAAAAAGAGAATTTCCAAAAACAAAATGAAGATGATTTATTTGAACTACTAAAATCATAAAACGGTTTCCCAAACAACTTTTACAGCTTTCATAGATATAGTAAAAGACATGCCCTAGCAGTAACACACATACACACACACGCAGCTCTGATTCATTTGCGGCAAGTCATGGCAATTAATAGGCAATAGCTGATCCACCAAAACCTTCCCTTTAAAAAACCAATAAAGAAAACCAGTTGCGGCTTTAAAAGGCCTAGGTGTTCAAGTGTCTCCCATTAACGAGAGTCATTCTAAGCGATGTTGTGCTTGGATAATGTCTTGTTTCCAAAGCAAACTGAGCAATCAAGATAAGGAAAGGAAAGACGTTCGGGAGCAATGAACAATTCAGAGAGTGAAAAGAAATGGAGACATCAGGGCGAAACTATCTTTTGATGACCAGGTTGTCTAAATGGTCCATCCTTAAGTAAACCCAGATCCCAAGACCTCCCCCCCTCAGCAGCAGGACATCAAGCTCTCACCAGGCTTCATGTTTTCAGATCCTTCTTGCCATGAGTTCCAGTGGAAGAACTCTGTAGACTTTGAGGGTCTACTACAGAACCTGTGTGTGTTCACTTCAGTTGATCATCTCTTCAAGCATTCATTTAAGACTCCCTGGGTGCCCACTAGGGGCCACCTACCGTGCCCTGTGGGTGCCAATCCTGGCAGCATTAGCTCTGAAGGAGGAAAGGTCTGTTTGGATTCTGCCCCTCTTCCTCCTCCGCCGTCCACCCACATTCCAATCATGGCACCCCTTCCAAGGGCTCCCGCGCTTTCTTACCACTGATCTGCCTGCCGCTCACATCCTCTGTTCTGCAGCCTACTGGAAGAGCTCAGGCGGAATGCTCATCCCCTGACTGCCCCCACCTCCCACCCTGAGTACTCTATGACCCACCTTTACCAGATTCTCTCCCTCCTTCAAAACTGATCTCTCCTGCTTCCCATTCTCTCAAAGTCCTCCCTTCTCCTATGTGATCTATAAGGTATTAATAGATCTTATTGAAGCAAATATTTGTCCTCCGATAGGGCAGCTATGCAGTAAGAACTGAAGCATCAGAGTTGAAGTGTAATTGTAACTGTAGTACGTTCTGTCACGGTCTCCATGCTCCGCACATTTGATATTTCAGTTCTGAAATTTCAAATTGCACCAGGGCTTTCTTCTGAACAGGGCTCAGAAAGTATTTGGTTTCTTTAGAAACCAAGGCAGAGGGGAGAAGTCAAAAAACTTGCCAATAAAAAAAAAAAACCCGTAAGGATACTCATAAAAATGCCTTAAAATTTGCAAATCACTGTATACTTTTCAAAAATCTCCTTAAGCATACATTTCAGATGGCTACTGTTATGTACTAATAACTGTTTATGCCCCCTCCCATATTCATGTGAAACCCTAAGCCCCAGTGTGATGGCATTTGGAGATGGAGTCATAGGCAGGTTTTTAGGTTTAGATGAGGTCAGGAGAGTGGGGCCCTCATGGTGGGATTAGTGTCCTTATAAGAAGAGAAACCAGAATCCAGTCCAGTTCTCTCCTCTCCTCTCCCTCCCTCTCTCTCTCTCTCTGCCATGTGAGTACACAGTAAGGAGAAGGCCATCTATAAGTCAGGAAGAGTCCTTAAAAGGAGCCAAATCAGTTGGCACCTTGATTTTGGATATGCCAGACTCCAGAACTGTGATGTCTGTCATTTAAGCTGCCCTGTTTCTGGTATTTTGTTATGGCAGCCTGAGCTAAGACACCCACTTATTTTGAAAACCATCTGTGAACCACCAGAATCCCAGAATCACTGATGGGAATGTAAGTTTAGAATTGTGGTGAGGGGTGTGACTCATTTTCAGGCCTGCAGATCATGAATAGGTCGGGTGGTTGGCTGCTGAGCTGACTGACAGGTTGCTTTCTTCAATCAATATCCTTTTACAGCACGTTTCCCAAGTGCATGGTTTACAGCTCCACGTTAGAAATGGAGTACCCCAATGAGAGCAGGCCAAGCACTGGGACAGAGTTAGAAGGGTCAGGGGTCAGGTGATGGGGAAAAAGGAGTAGAACCATCATGACAGATCAACAAATAAAATTAATTAATGGTGGCTATGGGAGAGAGGTTCATTGGGGGGGTTGTAGATGTAGAAAGAAACTGGCTATTGGGGTGCCTGGAAGGCTCAGTGGGTTAAGCATCTGACTCTTGGTTTCAGCTCAGGTTGTCATCTTATGGTCATGGGATCGAGCACCGCACCAGGCTCAGCAGAGTCTGCTTCAGATTCTCTCTCCCTCTGCCCCTCCCCTCCTCTCTTAAATAAATAAATTAAATTAAATCTTAAAAAAAAGGAACTAGCAATTAAAGAGGAGAGGACAGACATCATTCAAAATTCTCTATTCTTCTTAATTTAAACTTTTCCATTAATTTAGAACAACCTGTTTTTGCTTTGAACTTGGGTTTGCTCAGTCTCTGATCCTCCATGTCTATTATATTGTCCTGCTATCCCTGTATGTGAATTTTAAATATGCAAATATGAGATCTCAACAAAATTTCAGTTTATTTGTAAAATCTTAAGTAGTGCAATTCTCCTCAAATTAAAGAATCATTGTCAAGAAACATAATTTCAACGCTGCTGGATCAAGTACACGGTAAGTTCTGATTCCACCACAGCATACCGCGACATAACCGAGTCAGCATACCATGCACCCACTGTTAGTACTGGGTAGACCAAGCCATTCTTTACATGCACTTGAACTTCTCCATGCAGTTTCCATAGATGTTATCCCCTTGTTTTAAAATTCACTGCTAAGTATAACTTAAAATTTTTTTTTATCTTATAACAATATCTACACATTCATTAAAAGATAGTACTTGTGCTAATGCTGAAAAATGGGCTCCAAAAACCTGCTCCTCTAGAAGTTAGGTATAATAAAATATGAAGAATGCTGCAGGAAACCAGAATATGTCACCCCAAAATATGCCTCCTTGACATAAAATTTACTTTGAGCTGTAAGCAATTAAGATGCAGTAAATGCAAGAAAAATATTCCCTCTCTTTTGTCTAAAGGCAAGAAATAAGTTCTCCTTTTACTGGAGATAGACTCTATCAGCTCACAGACTGCACCAGGGAATGTACAAACAAACCTCATTCAACTAACCTTTTAGCTCCCTAGACTCCTCACCATTTACCATCCCTGGCCCAAACCCCTCTGCATTGTCAATTCTTCACAAATTTATTGTTTGTGTAAAAGGTATAGAAGCTTCCAGCTCTGATCACTCCACCCAGGTCTTCGTTCTCTGGGGAAGGATCCCAAGTAACTGCCAAACTTCATTAACATGTGTGTTTTCTTCCCACTAATCTGTCTTCGTCCGTTTCATCTTCAGAGCTAGCCAGGGACCTGACGAGGGTCAAGGAAAACTTTTTTCTCTCCCTCAAAGGCCAAACGGTATAAGGCTGTGCTGTTAATTTTAGAGAGCAGTCTGAGAAATACTAGCAGTAATGCTGAGATAATAAAAAGCAGTGTTATAGCAAATATGCCTTGAAATTTACAAAGACCGCTGTTACCTAACTAGACAGCGACGGCAGAAAAGAGCTGGGGACACGGCTACGAAGCAAGGTGGCCTTTATGTGCCCCAGAGCAGCGCTAGTTATAAATGTGTTTTTCCAGAACCATCTCCCCCATTCACATGTAGTCCTAAGAGGAAGGATGAAATATGCAGGATGTGATTGAGAGAGGCTGCAAGCGAAGCATTTTCACCTGTGAGACCCCCAAGGCCCAGATGGCAGAGGTGTGTATTTTTTCACCCAGCCTGGAGAAAGAAAGGGCCCGTCTTCCCAGTTCTTTCCTCAATGAGATCCCAACTCTGTGGTCTCTGGGATTTCCCTCCTCCCACACAGGGCAGCCGCCCAGCTCCGGGGCCTGTGTTCTTAATCCTCATAGCTTCCCTTGGCTTTGGCACC